TATGAGGTCCCAAGGTGCCTACTTGGAAAGGGACTAGGGTATCATTGTCCTATGTACAGTGTTTCTTGTATCTTCGTCAGTAAATATCTCTATTTTTCATATTACATGGCTGAATACCCTCTGAACAGACTTCATACTTCAATCCTCAGTTTTGTTACTCAGAAAATAATAGCATGTACATTGTAGAACTATGAGGACTAAATGAAATATTGCATGTAAAATACTTCTGAGCACAAAGCATACAGTAAATATTAGTTAATGTTAGTCATCGTTACTATTCTTATTAGCAGTTTTCAGCCTGAAGTTGACTGGAACTCTCAGTTAGTAAGTATTTATGAAGTACCTGATCCCTAGTATTGGACTTTAGACTATGGAAGGAGCTACTGACGTGAATATCAGCTTGGTACTTAAAGGTAGAGCAAAGAGAACTGATGCTAGTCAAGTTCTTACCACTGTGTTCAGTAATAAGGTAGCTATTATTCCCACTTTATCAGTGAGGTAGTGGAGGCTTGGTAATGTTAAGTAACTTGTGGAAGATAATGGACTGTTGTTGAATCCCACTACTGCCATTTAGCTGTGTGGTCAGAGTAATTTGTTTAACCTTATAGGGGTAGAAGTGTCAGCTCAAATAAATTAATGTTAATTTGCTTTTAATTTGGAAATACTGACATGCTCTTCAGTGTCAAAATACGGAGATATCTATTCTACTTATTCTTACTACTGTCCCACCCCCAATTCCTTCAGCTTTAAGATTCTCCCCGCCAACTTAGGAAATATTAACTTTGTTGATAGTTGAATTGAAAACAAAGGGTTAAAAGTAAGGGTAATGATGGATGTGATAGTGTTGAGATGGGAAGAACTGGTTTATGGGAACTGACTTAGGTGTCATGGTGGGGCCTAGTCTATTCTTCAAGGTCTCAAAGAGAAAGTAAATGATGCTGTTGATACTTACAAATGTGAGGTCAGATTGGATGGATGATAAGGGTTGCATGCTCAGAGTTTTTTCTTAGGGCTCAGTTATTGTTAAACCATCCTGTCTTGCTCTAGAAATTGAGTGGACTTCAGATATGAGTAAGAGAGTTGAGGAAAACAAATCTGAAGTCTTGGGTGTTTATTTGGAAAGAAAAGACCTCAGAGTAATACTATGAATTATCAGTACAACACCTCTCATGTAATATACCATTCACATTCTAATCAAAAAGCTCTAAATTCTCGTGTAATTCTCAGGCTATTCAAAAGAAATTAACAATCAGATTCCTGTTTTCTAAGACTAAAAAAGTGTATAGCTACTTTCATACATTGTTTTGGGTTTTTTTTGTTTTTTTTTAATATTTTATTTATTTACCTTTAGAGGGGAAGGGAAGGAGAGAGGGAGAGAAATATCAATGTATGGTTGTCTCTCGTGTGTCCCCTGCTGGGAACTGGCCTGCAACCCAGGCATGTGCCCTGACTGGGAATCGAACCGCAATACTCTGGTTTGCAGGCCCGCGTTCAATCCACTGAGCTATGCCAGCCAGGACTCTTTCATACATTGTTACTGGGCTTGTACAAGGGTATATTTTATTTGGGGATAAAAATAGGCCTTATATAAAGTTTAAAAATGTACATGCTCTTTAGCACAACCGTTTTACTTCCAGGAATTCATCCTTTATATATGTTTATGCACAAGGATATTTACTGCAGCATCATTTGTGGTAACAAATGACTAGAAACCACCTAAATGTTTATCAGAATAAACATTTTTTTGTGTGACTGGTTAATATATATATATATATATATATATATATAATTTGATATATATAAGGAAGTGTGATTAATAGTATTTCCTATATAAGGAAATACTGTTAAATCTTTAAAAAGAATAAAGTAGATTCCTCCACTTTAATATAAAACAATCTCCTGGGTATATTAACTGGAAAGTAGTACTTGGTATATTTAGTATGCAAAAATTGTATAAAAATAAAAGCAGGCACAAGCATTCGAATGCTTGTGTAGACATAGACTCTGGAAGGATACATAAGCTATTTCTGCTGAGATTTCCCTGATCCATAGATTTCCCCTGGGATGAGTAGGTGGAAGGGCAGCATACTTTGTTATCAAAATGCTTTTGAATATTTGTATCAAATATCTTAAAGTGCCATGTGAATCATATGTATTTGGCCATACATTGTTGCTGCGAGAGCTCGCATTCATTGACAAGGACTTTTCTCTGCTCGTGCTTTGGCGGCGTTGTGCTTTTGAATTTGAGGACTCCGTCAGTTGGTCATTTGACCTAGAAATCAGGAGCAGTATTGAACACCCCTTTTAGGGTAGGGTGGATACCGGTAGAAGTTTTAGGTAGCAGTTGAAGAAATAGCTGAATATAGTTTTAAAAAAGAATATTTTAAAAATACAGAGTATTGAAATGGTTAGGTTATTCTCCCTAAATAAAAAGAAGAGCCAGAAAACAAAATTTGATGTAGAACTTGGAAGCATTTTGGAGTTATGAATGTACATGGAAATGAGGAACAGGAAGGGAGTCGAAAGTCCACAGGGAACTGAAACCACTTTATAAACATTATCTCATCTCTAAATTGCACCCTTTTGTAAAGTTACTTTCCCGACTTTCAAAACCAAAGAAATTGGTGCCCGGACGGCATTTTTGTGGTTTCCGATGTAACATAAGAAGAAAATAGCAAAATGAGGACAAGAACCTTGTTTTCTTGATTTTAATTTTAGCCCCACGATTATTCTGAGATTACCTGAATTTCAATATGGGAATAGCAACAACAACAAAAAAACAAACGTTTTTTAAAAATTCTGTTTTGAACTTGATGTGTAAAAGCATTTGTTTCTAAAGGTTTTATTTTTCTGTATCCACACTCAGGAGGTGAAGGTCAGAATGGACATTGAAAGAAAGCTTTGGACATTGTACCACTGATTGTTTTTACTGAGTCATTCTGGTTCAGGAAAAGGAAAGATAATGAAAATATTAACTTTTGCACAGCATTTTATAGTTTCAAAAGCTTTTTTTCACAAATACTGTTTTCTCATTTTGTAGTTCTATGATACAGGTAGTGGTGATGTTTTGTTATCAATGTTTTCATTAGGTTTTCACTGTTAAAGAAAAAAATAGGGTCAAGAAAGTAGGGTGATCTGCCCGAGATCAAAGTGTCAAAGCTGGCCCTTACAAAATTGAACTCAAATTTAGTTTTTTTCTTTTTACCCAACCATAAAGTCTTATGGGGTAGATTTACTTAGCTTTGAGGAAACCAATTCTAGGTGGGACCTTGATTGGGAAAACATTTGGAAGCCTAAAACTTCAGGGCAGAGTGGTTCAATAAATAGATGGTTTTGGGGGGTCAGGTGAGGTTCTCCCCTCGCTGAGGGCAAGCACAGCCGATGTCCTTGTGGTTCTAATGTACTCTGCCAGCTCTTTTCAGAGCAGCTTGGCCCATCTTCCATTGCCGAGTTGTCTGAGCTGTGGGCCAATAAAGGGAGTGTACTTAATTTACACCCTGCCTGAGGGTGCGCATCAGGTTAGTTAAGAGAGCTATTTTTTTTGTAATTAATCACATATAAATTAGTGAAATATCATTTTGTAGCAAATGTTGGTGACATTTGTTTCTTAAGCTAAATTTTTCTAAGGATAAAGAAACAGGACAATGAAATAAGCCTCAACTCTGTGATCATAATCCTGTCTATGCTGGGAGAGAATTTTGAATGTTAATATGGTGTCCGATTAAAATGAGGACATTCCACACAGTCAGTGTCCAGAGCCTGATGGTGTCTAATATTTGACTTTTGGATCTACTCACTGGAAAACCAGTGAGTTGTTTTAAGCAGAAGAGTAACATCATTTGATCAGTGTTTTTAAAGAGACATCTTGGCCGTTAGAGTTGAAGAGCATCAATTTACTCTTTTTAAAAAAATTGTTATTCAAGTACAGTTTTCTCTGCCTTTTACTCCCAGCCCTGAGCAGAGATTCACTTTTAAATGAGAATAACTTATAGGAAAAAATATCTGTCATTAATTAGTTATTTAGGTTGACTGGTAGATTCTTATTTTCAGATCTTCAAAACTTTGTAAAAGCTCCTCAAGTGATTATAATATGCAGCCAGGGTTGAGAACTACCACTTTATCTTGGGGAACAAGAGAGAGATCTTGGCATTAAGTTTGGGAGAAGGAAGTAAGTGAAAAGCTATGGGAAGCTGGGAAAGTTTAACTGTTGTTTTTGTGCCCTTTTCAGAATTCTGCTTTCATATTAATATGTCCATATGCCTAAATGTTTTGGTGATAAGAATTTTTACGTTAAACTTTATGAAATTCTAACAAAGACTCTTAATTCATTCTTTTCTTTCTGTTCCTTTTTGTATGAAGAGAGAAAAGGCATATTAAGAAGGGATAACTATGATATGATACAATTTGATAAGAATTTGGCAGCATTAATAGAAGAATCTATCTCTTAAAAACTTTAAAAATTATTTCTAAGACTGGTTTTATTTGATCCATTTAAAAATACATATGAAATTTGAGCAAGCCAATTATGTTAATGTGTAGCTACTTATCTTGCATACCTAGAATTCTGGATTAGGATTGCTGATGCTTCCTGTAATTGGGTAGAAGACCATGGAGATTTTCTTCTTACTGTTAGATTATTGTGTTTTATTGATATAGAATTATATCTTTATGCTTTATATGTGAAGGAAATAAATTATTTATATGAGAGACTTAGATTAGGGGTGAAAAGGAATAAAATAGCTAGGTTATGAAAGAAGTAATTGTTTTTATAGATTACAACCCATGGGAGAAAGTTTGTGGGAGTTTGGATATCAAACACAGTTACAGCAATTACATTGCTAGGATGTAATGTAGCCAGTACAACTCAGGGCTGTTTACTGGTGGACATTTAGGATCACCTCTTTGTTATTTTATCCAGTGATGTAGTGTAGCTGATTCTGTTGAAAGTTACACCTTAAATATTGAAATGCCTGTTGTTTTTTTTTCCTGTTTGCTCATAGTGGTAGTCGCTCCTCTAAAACATTTAAACCAAAGAAGAACATACCAGAGGGTTCTCACCAGTACGAGCTCTTGAAGCATGCAGAAGCCACCCTTGGCAGTGGCAATCTCCGGATGGCCGTGATGCTTCCTGAGGGCGAAGATCTAAATGAGTGGGTTGCAGTGAACAGTAAGTAGCCTTTCTGTTTCTCAGTAGACTTTAAATTGGGTGCGTAGCCTCACTGTAGGAGAGTTTTGGGGTGCTATCTATTCTAGGATCTAGTTAGCAACGTAACATGATATAGTGATACCTCAATCCACTTTAGCCTTTATGTTTTTGTATTTCTGAATGAGTTTTGTGAAATTCTTGTGTCCTGTTACAGTGACATACAAAGCATAGATTTACCATCTTCAGTGGAAAAAGACAATAATAACAGCAATTGATCATTATGGAATACTAATTATGTGTCTGGCACTCCACTATCCTTTGTACATGGATTATTTTATTTCATATTTACAACCTCATGATGTACGTACTATTATTAACCCATTTTAAGGCAGATAAGGAAGCTGAGACAAAGAGATTAGTAATTGCCTAGGTCATGCCCACTATTAAGTGCCGGAGTCTGGGCTGTGTTAGAGCTGTGGAATTTTAGAGACAGCACTTAGCCACTATGATAAATCGCCTCTTTCAGTAGCATATTCAGTTATGCTAAATTATGCTATTTTTTAAAAAATCATTCACTACTGATTTATGAAATTACAAAATATGTTTGAGATTATTCTTACCAACAAAGGAGGAAAACATATAAGTAAAAAGTACATATATTCTTGGGAATTAAGCCATAGAAAGTTGGGAAATAAAAGTGGTACTTGTAATATTCAGGGGTTTTTAGCATTAGTGAAGAAACAAGTAGAATTGTATAATTGGAGGAATTTTACATGAATCTAGTAAAAATAAAATGAAATTTAATTGAAAACATACACTATATTCTAGGCTTTGATTAAGCAAAAACAAAACCATAGTATTTTTTTCTTGTAATATTTGATGGTATCTTACCGTAATTTGAAATATATCATGGGATTTATAAATTGAGCTGCCATTCACTAGTAACTTTTAAGAACCTAAAGGATTTTACTGAGATGTCTGAAAACTTTACTATGATAGCATTTGCATATGAGCAGTATTTACTCTAATGTGGTTATTTCCCTGGACCAAGAGAGTTTAGTTACTAAAGAACTAAAACAGTTTTTGCTTTATAGGTGAGACCCAGCTTACATATAAGATGGTTCTGTGACACTTCAAAGACAATATTCAGGATAAATGTCCAATTTATTATGTATATTCTTTTTTGCACTTGTTTATGCCCCTTTTGTACCATTTATTTAAGAACTCACTCATTTAAAAAATCTAAGGAGGGCAGCTTAGTGCTTCTGTACTACATGAGCTTCTTACTTGTATGTGTAAAAGCAGATCATTATATTCTCTGGCTCAGTTGCCAGAACAGAGTATCTGTACTACTGAAATGCTTAGAACTTCAGGAACTTCTAAAATTTCACAGGAATTTTGCAGTTATAACTATACAAAAATTACTTTGAATTGGAGTGTCAGAATATCCCCTTAGAGCAGATAATTCTGCTTTGAAAATAAAACATTTGACTGAAGTATTGGATTCTAAGTTTCCTTATTTGTAGTAATCTTCCCAAATGACACTTGATGATGTGAATAAGATTTGAGACTAGCTATTTCTACTACCTGGCCGTGATTAAATAAACATTTTGGGTACACAAAAGAGAGAAGGGAATTTGTTGATAAGATTGCCATCTTAATGGCTTTTTGGCTTCAGTTCACTTGCCAGATGAAAATAAATAGTAGAAGAAGGGAAATTTTTGCAAATTCAACTAATCTCACGGCCAGAAATCAGAGCCTAGTTTTGCACATTCTACTGCTAGAAAGAGTGATAGCTTAGAAAAGAAAGAAAGAAGGTTCAGGGTTCTGGAAAAAGCTGGATGGATGGTTTATAAATAATTTATGTGGCACCAAATCCTGAGGCCAGATTTGATTTATGGAAGAAAACTAGTATTTATTAAATGCCCACTTAATGGCAGGCATAGATTTTTTTAGTGCTCCGTGATAAACTCAGTTTTAAAGGTAGGAAACCGAGGTTCAGAGAGATTAAGTAACTCAAGTGGTAAGTATAGCAGTTGGGATTCAGACTTGCACTACTTGAAACCCATAGGTTGTCCTCTGTTCTTGTGGAGGACTACTTCAGAATTATTAAGTTGCAGAGTCATTACTTTGTAAACCTTGGCTTTTTGTGAGATAAGAGGGCAGAGGAAAATTTGACAATTAAATCTAGTGTAATGTTTATTACCACTCTACTTTCACCAGTAATTATGATTCCTTTTAAAGTTTTTTTTTTCTTTTCTGTAGAAAGTGTGAATTAAAAAAGCAAAGTGCTGGTTATGGGTAATTAATGGGATGAAAAGGGATTTTAGGATTATAAATAAAGAGGGAATAGGGGCAGAGCTCAAAGCCACCGTTTGTAGTATTTGTCCTTAAATATGGGGGGAGGGCAAAAGTAGGTGGAAACTAAAAAGTTAACCACTAATTTAAAGAAATCTGATAGAGTCATGCTAATATCAGATAAAGTAGACTTCAAGGCAGAAAACAGTAAAGAGGAAGATTTAAAATAAATGGTTCAGTTCACAAAGAATATATGACGTTTTGAATTTATGTCTTTAATGAGATCTCAAAAATAAAATCAGTTGACTGAAGTAACGAAGAAACAGGCAAATTCACAGCCACAGTGGGAGATTTAAGCGGTCCTTTTTAGTAATGGATAGAGTGTGGAGGGTAAATGTCAACAAGGAATTAGAAAAGTTTGAGCAACACAACGATAGACTTGATCTGAGGAATACATGGTCTAAAGACCTCAGATGACACACATGTGCATTTTCAAAAGCTGAAGTGATTGAAATTGTGTAACATGGTCTTTGACCGTAGTGGAGTTTAGCTAGAAATTGATAACAAAAAACTAGGAAATCTGTATATAGTTGGAAAGAACACTGATAAATCTGGGTTTTGTTTGAGTGAAGTTAAAATTTAACGTTTTACTTATAATGGATTTTTTGCTTTACAGCTGTGGATTTTTTCAATCAGATCAACATGCTTTATGGAACAATCACAGATTTCTGTACAGAGGAAAGTTGTCCAGTGATGTCAGCCGGACCAAAGTAAGATGCAGCTTACGATCAGTTCTCATTTTTACTTAGTTTACAGTTCTTAGATAAGAAAGTTTCTGACCCTATAATTTCTGCACTTAGCATCCCTTACACTCGTTCACCGATGAGTAATGTATTAAGTTCAGATTCTTAAGCCTGAGCTTTATCACCCTTCCTGTTTTGTCCTCCATCCTGCCTTTCCTGTTAACTTACACATCTCCTCTGGTTTATCCAGACCAGATTACTGGGAACGCCTTGCTTGCTGGGCCCTCCATTACTTACACTCCGAAAACTTGCTCATTCTGTTCTTGTGTTGGTTATTTTCCTTCTGTTCCCATCTCTTGTCATCTTCTGCCCCACATTTCCAGAAATCTTACCCATCTTCAAGACCCACATCAAATGCTTCCTTCTCCAGATCGATTTCTTCACACTGATGTGATCTTTCTATTTAATTTTTTTGTCTTTAGGATTATATTTCTTTGTTACATTATAATTACATTAATTATACGTGTCTTATTTAACCAGTTAGATTAGTTCTTCTTTTAAATCTATTTTGGTGCAAGAACAGTGTCACCATCTAATTACCACTCAAGTGAATGCTGCTCGGATCAGTAAATTGTTGAAACTGACTTTTATTACTGTGGCTGATAACAACAATGCCAGCTACTGTTTATTCAGTGCTACCTAAATGTAAGGCCTTTTATACAGCAAACCTGTGGGGTAAGAAAACTATTGTTATTCTCATTTTACAGGAAAAAAGAAATTGAGTCTCAGAAAAGCTAAGTAACATGCCCAAGGTCTTGTTATCTAGAAACAGACCCGGGATTGAAATTCAGGTCTCTTTCATTTGCCTGTACTGTCAATTGCTGCATTATATTATTTTCTTATAAGCAATATTAATTTATAAATTATATATACAGAGGTTTAGCTATTGGTGCTGATTTTTTAGAAAGTATGTTCTCTGCCCCCAACTATAAACACGATTTAAATACCAAAACAAAAGAAAACAAGCTCTCTAAACTTACTAGTGCTTAGAAGTACTATCATTATATAATAAGTAGTGACCTTAGATTGCTAATCACTCATTGTACTAATGCTTTCATTGCTCAGAATATTTTTCATAACTTCTCATTATAGTGTCAGATCACTAGCTACCCAAAAGATTCAATTTTATTACTTCATAGTCATAATTTATTTGTTGAACAAAGTATTACCTAGAGTTGTCTACCTTATTCCTCAAATTGACTCTAAATGAGTTTAGATATGTCTCACAATCTAGTTCTTTTAAAAAGAACTGACAATTTGCCATCATCAAAGATTTTCAAAATAATATGCTTTTATTATTTTCTAAGATAATTTTTTGAAAAATAACTTATTTGCAAACTATTTCAGACTTTGAAACTTCATATAATTTTAAGTGTACGGAAAAGTTGCCAAATAGCACAAAGACCTCTCATCCTTTTTTACCCAGATTCTTCAATTATTAACCTTTTACTGCCTGTTCATCACCCACACTCTGTATGTATATTCATTAACATATTTTTCTGAACCTTTTGAGCAAGTTGTGGACATTATTCCCCTTTACCCCAACATATTCAACTTTGTATTTTCCAAAAACAAGGATACTCTTCTGCACAGCCAGCATATAAACCCTCCAAACCAGTTCTTCCAGTTCATGGATACTATTTGCATTTCATCAGCTGTCTCAATAATATCTCAGTTTCTAATTTCTAGGCAAGGATCCTGTCTGTGAACGTGTATTGCATTTATTTGACCCTCTTCACGTAAAAAGAGCACCCAAATATTGGGTACTTTGAATCTGTAATAGTTCTCATTCTTTCTCTGTATTGGCTTTTGTGCATAAAAGAGTTAATATAGCAGGCCTGACTACAATCTCTTAAAAGGCCTGCCTCCAAGGTTGGCCCTTGGATGGCATCTTGCAACTTGTATTTCTTCTTCTTTTTTAAAAATATATTTTATTGATTATGCCATTACAGTTGACCCATTTCCCCCCTTCACCCTGCACACCCCCTCCTTCCCATTCCCCCCCTTTAGTTCATGTCCATGTATGACGAGTTCTTTAGCTTCTACATTTCCCATACTATTCTTGCCCTCCCCCTGTCTATTTTCTACCTGCCATCTATGCTACTTATTCTCTGTACCTTCTCCCCCCTTCTCTTCCTCCCAGTCCCCTGTTGCTAACCCTCCAAGTGATCTCCATTTCTGTGGTTCCTCTCCTGATCTAGCTGTCTGCTTAGTTTGCTTTTGTTTTAGGTGTGGTTGTTAATAATTGTGAGTTTGCTGTCCTTTCACTGTTCATATTTTTTTATCTTCTTTTTCTAAGATAAGTCACTTTAACATTTTATATAATAAGGGCTTGGTGGTGATGAACTCCTTGAACTTGACTTTATCTGAGAAGCGCTTTATCTGCCCTTCCATTCTAAATGAAAGCTTTGCTGGATAGAGCAATCTTGGATGTAGGTCTTTGGATTTCATGACTTGGAATATTTCTTTCCAGCCCCTTCTTGCCTGCAAAGTCTCTTTTGAGAAATCAACTGACAGTCTGATGGGAACTCCTTTGTAGGTGACTGTTCCCTTATCTTTTGCTGATTCTAGAATTCTCTCCTTCATTTGAATCTTGGCTAATGTAAAAATAGCGTGTTCCTCCTTGGGTCCACCTTCTTTGGGATTCTCTGAGCTTCCTGGACTTCCTGGAAGTCTATTTCCTTTGCCAGATTGGGGTAGTTCTCCTTTATTATTTGTTCAAATAAGTTTTCCACTTGTTGCTGTTCCTCTTTCCCTTCTGGTACCCCTACAATTCGGATGTTGGAACAGTTAAAGATGTCCTGGAGGTTCCTAAGCCTCCTCATTTTTTTTGAATTCTTATTTCTTCATTCTTTTCAGTTTGGTTGTTTCTTTCTTCCTTTTCATTCACTCCATTGATTTCAGTCCCATTTTCCTTCCCAACACTATTGGTTCCCTGTGCATTTTTTTTTTTCATTTCAATTAGTGTAGCCACTAGCCTTCATTTGTTCATCTATTTTGTGACTAAAATCAGCCAGTTTTGTGATAATCCTGATCACCATTGTTTTGAACTGTGCATCTGATAGGTTGGCTATCTCTTTGTCGCTTAGAAGTATTGGCTCTGGGGCTTTGAGCTGTTCTACTTGAGCCATAATGTTTTGGTGTGTACATGCCTTGTACATGCCTGTTAACATGTGAGGGGCAGAGGCTTAGGTGTTCACTGGGCCGGGTGCTGGGTTGTGACTGGGGGGCAGGGTCAAAGAGGGAGCAATAGCGTTTGTTCCGCTCTCTCTCAGATTTTGGGCCCCTCTGCTGCTTCCCACAAGCAAATCCGGCCCTTCTGATGCTGGTTTCTGGGTAGGTGGGCTTATGTACATTCTAGGACCCTGTGGGTCTCTCCAGTGAACTCTCCTGTGAGGCTGGGAGCCTCTCCCATCACCTCAACCCCTGAAAGTTTTTCCAGTTGGTACTTTTAAGTTTCAACTCTCATTGCTGGGGCCCTGGGTTGTGTGGTCTGTCTCACTGCCTCTTTTTCACCTGGTTTATCTGCGTATGAACGTGTGTCCACGATCAGCCAGCTGCCTTGCAAGCCTTACTGGGTTTGCTCCTTTCAGCCCCTCACCTGCCCAGGTCTGCTAAACACCACCTTTTCCTGCGTGACCCCTCTCCGCCCCCCGCCGACTCCACCCTCTTATCAGTCTGGATAAATGGTGTGTTGTTGTCGGACTTCGGTATAGTTCAATTTTCTGTTTATTTTGGTTGTGTTTTTGTTTCTAAATCTTTGTTGTCCTTAAATTTGGTTGTGCAAGGAGGTACAATATTTCCACCTATGTCTTTATCTTAGTCAAAAGTCCTTTGTTTGTTTGTTTGTTTGTTTTTAAACAAAGAGAAAGGGAAGGAGAAAAGGGGAGAGAAACATCAATGTGTAGTTGCCTCTTGCACACCCTCTACTGGGGACCTGGCCTGCAACCCAGGCATGTGCCCTGATCTGGGAATTGAATCTGCATCCCTTTGGTTTGCAGGCTGGTGCTCAGTCTACTGAGCCACACCAACCATGGCTTGCAAGTTGTATTTCTTAAGGGTTCCCAGAACCCTAACAGTTAAGAGTGGCTCACTGTGCCTAAACCATACAATTGATATGGCTTACACTTTTCTTCTGGGCATCTGGAGTTTTAGTGTGTCATGCAGAAGGTGCCTTCTTGACCATCCCCCCGAACAAAAACCTGGACCCCACGTCTCTAATGAACTTCCCTGGCAAACAGTATTTAGCATGTGTTACCACGATTCAGTCCTGGGGGAATTAAGGGTAGCCTGTGTGACTCCACTGGGAGAGGACTCTCAGCTTGCTTGTGGTTTCCTCCAGATGTCATTTGGTTTGCTGTTCCTCTTTGCTGATTTTGGTCTGTGTTCTTTCACTGATAATTCATGCCTGTGAGTACAATTGTGTGCATTCTTGGTAGGAACTCAGAGAAATGATCCTTTTTTTTCTTAGTGGGTCATGTCAGAAGGCTCATGATGTTGACCATGCCATCATTAACCCTGACTACCGTATCATGTTAGTGTCTGCAAGGTATCATGTTAGTGTCTGCAAGATGCCTTCACCTCAAACTTGTCATTTTCTTCTTCTTTATAATTGACTGGTATTTTATTGGCAGGTTTGCTGATATTGCACCAATGTTTCTTTCCTGTGAATTAGGGAGAATTACTGCCAGTTAGAATACTTCTCTGATCACTTTCTTCACAGAAACCTTAATCTAAATAGCTGGTATAGGAAGAATATACCCACTTCTTCAAACATAACAGGCATAGGATCTCCATAAAGACACTGTAGAAATGCACCCTGACCAGTGTGGCTATTGTTTGGGGCATCTTCCAGTAAATGGAAAGGTTGAGAATTCAGTTTTCCATCAGAGCACATATCTAGGTTGCAGGTTTGATCCCAGATTCAGTGTGGCCTACGATCCCTGGTCTGGACATGTACAGGAGGCAGCCAGTCAGTGCTTCTCTCTCTTGTTGATGCTTATCTCTCTCTCTCTCTCCCCCAACTTCCTTTCTCTCTAAAATAAATTTTAAAAGGCCTCAGAGAGAATTAAAAGAAAAGACAGAAATGAAAAATAATTCTTCCTTCCTCCTTTCCTTGAGAAATACCAAGGAATAAAAACAACCACAAAAATTGAGGATGGTCATCATAGAAGTGGGCAGTAAGCTAGGCTTTCTACTATGGCAATGTCTGAGTCTAACATAAACATTTTGTATATGAGGGAAAGCTATGTAATAAAATTAAAACATGGATGGAGAGCATAGAAACAAAAAATGAGTTTGGTAGGATCTGCTTAGTTTGGATTGCGATAAATGCAAAATAATTCAGTAGCCATTTGAAAACATTCAATTAAAATGCCAATTGTAAAAATCTTTATTTGGAGGAACAGATTATTTAAGACATGTCCTGTATACATTCATAACATATACATGTATAATATAAAAAAATACACATTGTGTATAGGTGTGTACTAATATTCTGTGTGCTTTTTATTTTTCCAATGCAGGTATGAGTATCATTGGGCAGATGGAACAAACATAAAGAAGCCAATTAAGTGCTCGGCACCAAAGTATATTGATTACTTGATGACTTGGGTTCAGGACCAATTGGATGACGAAACATTATTTCCTTCAAAAATAGGTACAGTAGTTTTATATAATTGGAATCCATCATGATTCATCTAATTTTATATATTTCTAGAGCTTATTTTTTCTCTATTCCAGGAACCATATTAGGTTACCATATTTATCAGGGTATTTCTAATACATTTAAAAGCCTTCTATCTTTTTTATGCTAATTTACCATGATCATTAAGGTAAGCCTCCCTGTTTTTTAAACAATGAGAAGATCAGCATTGAGTCAGATAGTGACAGAATCTGGCCTGTGTTATGGAACAAAGAGCAGCTATTTGCTGCGCAGCCAGTGTCGTCTGCAGTAGTGACATTCATTTCTTGTTTAGGGAAGGAGCTTCTATGACTTATGTCCAGTTTTACATTATATTTGTGGCAAAGAGGGAGTTTGAGTTTATGACCCATGGTGTGATTTACAGACTGAAATCAAGCTAAGTGAAAAGAAAACAAGATTTGAGCATTTGGCTTGTTACCAACTGAGTGTCTATTGCTTTTTCATATTTGTTCTTAAGGGCTGGCCTTTCAAGTGGAAGTTGTTCACATCTAGACAGTTCACAAGATTTTTACCTTTTCAAATTTCTTACAACTGTTTTTCTGAAAAATTTTAGAATTTGTTTTTTTAACAATAAATAACTTTTGATTATATTTTATGCCTTCAGATTTTGGTGGATGGATATTATGGAGGAGACAGTAATGTAAATAGTTGTAATTATTATGGACTGTTTTAAACACATGTATTTTTTTTAAAGTTTTTTAAAAGATTTTATTTTTAGAGAGAGGGGAAGGAAGGAAGAGAGGGAAACAGTGTGTGGATGCTTCTTGTGCACCCCCTTCTGGGGACCTGGCCCTCAACCCTGGCATGTGTTCTGACTAGGAATCAAATTGGTGACCCGTAGGTTTGAGGGCCGTCACTCAGTCCACTGAGCCACACCAGCCAGGGCTGAACACGTTTATTGAATGCTTTGGTTTAATTAAGGTCTGTTTTTCATGGCTGCTTTATTTATATACATAATAATGGTTTTGGATAAGTGCCCCCACCTTATCTTTTAATCCCTGTAATATACTTTTTAACTTAATTTTGATCCAATTTTAGATTTGTAGAAAATTTGTAAGAATTATGCAAAGAATCCATCTATCCTTCTTCCAGGTTCTTTAGTTGCTGACATTTTCCCACATTTGCTTTCTCACTCTCCCCAGACATTCTTTCCTTTTTCTGAACTATTTGGGAGTAAGTGATGCCCATTTATCCATGTGTGCTTCCATGTATATTTCCTCAGAAAATCACAGTATAACTTTCAAAATCAGGAAGTTAACAGTGTACAGTTATTTACAGATCTTATTTGGATTTTTCTTAATAATACTCTTTAGAGCAAGGGAAATTTTCAACATGTTTTTCATTCAGTCGTCATGTCTCATTAGCATTCCTTAATGTGGAATGTGCATTCATCAGTCTTTTGTGGACTTCCATGACACTGATATTTTTGAAGAGTGTAGGCATGCTGTTTTATTTAATGCCCCTTTATTTTGGTTTGTGCTATGTTTTCTTGTGACCTCTATACTATTTTTAAATGAGCAACAGGTGATATGAAGACATTGAACCCGGCAGTACTGGTGTTTGGCTTGTGTTTGGCCAATCTGGATTATTTAGTGAGAGCAACAAAGTATATGGAATTTTGTATTATTCTAGTTTTTTTCCTTAATGCTGTAATTCATAACAATGAGCCTAATTGAGCAGATACTACAGCTATTTTTCAGGATAAATACAGACCTGGAGTAGTAATGAAATAATTCTTATAGAAAGTAATTTAAAAATATATTGCAAGCATTTAAACAAAATGAGCATAGTTAATACATTATTTGTGTTGAGCATATAATTTTATTAAGATGTGATATTACAAAATCTGAGGATCTGAGTGTGAGTTTTAGCTCCATTTTCATTTTAGGCATTCATCTATTTCATTTTAGTAAAGTATGATAAACTAGAGGCCTGAGGGCTATACTGAAGACTAGTTCTTTTTTTTTTTTTTTTTAAGATTATTTATTTATGTGTTTCTAGAGAGAGGAAGGGAGGGCAAAAGAGAGGGAGAGAAACATCAGTGCATGGTTGCCTTTCGTGTGCCCCCTACTGGGAACCTGGCCCACAACCCAGGCACATGCCCTGACTGGGAATTGAACCAGAGAACCTTTCGTTCACAGGCTGGCACTTAATCCACTGAGCCACACCAGCCAGGGGCTGAAGACTAGTTCTTATTCCATACAAGCATTGAAGTTTATTTTCTTTCATGATATGTTGAGAACTTCTGAAAAGTACAGTGGGTATATTAAGTAGTAATTCATAAAGACTTCTTTTCAGCCTTATCTTGGAGATTTATGTTGCCATTTGCTGACAAACTCGGATTGCCTGTCTCTTGTTAATAGTTTGGGGTTGTTTATCTATTTACCAGGGGTCCCTTTTCCGAAGAACTTCATGTCTGTGGCAAAAACTATACTGAAACGCCTCTTTAGGGTTTATGCACACATTTATCATCAGCATTTCGACCCTGTGATTCAGCTTCAGGAGGAGGCACATCTGAATACATCTTTCAAGCACTTTATCTTTTTTGTCCAGGTAAGTTTGATTGGGAGGCCTTTTTTGTTCAGTAGAAGCAGTTATCTACAGAGTTCTGAGGTAAAAACTGTATTCACACTGTAAGGATAAAATGTGCTATAGCTCTCTAGTCCTCTTTCTTTTCTGTACTTGCCATGATCGTAAGGACTGCCTTTTGTTTCTGACTGTCATCCATCTCCAAGCTGGTGGCATACAAGTCCGAATAAGATGGCTATTGAGAATTCTTTCCTTGGATTTGTTTCAGTTAATGGGCTGATAATTGGAGGGGCCGAACGAGGAACCTGGCTAGTTTAGCAGACCTATAGATGAACTCGATCTTTTGAGCTTTTTAGCACTCCTCCTACTCTTCTAAACCCTCAATTTTTGGCTACCTGGGAGTGTTTTTAGCATACTCTGTCCTGGCAGTGGGCTTTGAATATCACACCTTCTCCCCCCTCCTCTTTTTTTCTTTTTTTTAAGCATTCTGAATAATTTTTAAGTTAGGTACTGTCCATTATGTCTAAAGAGGAGAAAATGTCCCAGAGTGTTGCTCTTCCAGGAGGTCCATTAATTAGTCTGTGATCTGACTCCTCCTTCTCTTTTTAGTTCTCAAAGAAGTGGTCTTAGAGTTGAGGTTAAGAAAAATGAAGTTAGTTTCACCCTGCTATAACAATTAGAAAACTAAGAGCCAGGAGTGAAGAATAGGTGGAAGAGATAAGCTGACCAGCTCTTTTTTTTTCCTGGTAGAGGTTGAGAGGGGTTTACGGTAGGCAGGAGAAGTCCAAGGCTTGATTCTGTGTTGTCTTTGTATATCTTTGGGCATATACTTATCAATGCCTTCTCCATGACCCGTCTCCACTAAAGAAAAATGTGTTTTTTTCCCTGTCTACACATTCCTCACACTGAGACATACATTTTGTGTCTCAGTTTCACCTATATAAACACATATTAGGAGATAGTAACATGCCTAAACTGTTGCTCTGAGCAGTTACTTTACTATGGTATTCCATCTACAGATACCCACGGAAACAAAGAAAATGGTACCCTAAAGCTTTTATCTGTGCCTTGGTTTAGGCAGGTATGATTGATGAGGTTTAGGTTTTAGTGGTTTACGAGAGGATATGCTCCCACCAGAATGGTTAGTTTTACCTTACAATATGATCTTAAAGTACACTGTGTCTCCCAACTCTTAGCAAATAATAGGGGGAAGATATATGGCATTTACCACATCTGGGCCTATTTACAGCTCAGGATACTGTGCCCTTCTTAAAGGTGGGTCCAATATCAGTTATGCAGTTAGTTATACAATATCAGCCCTTAATTGAAGAAGCCCTTGACCTCACAATTTAGAAAGTCCTGCCCTAGCTCTTCTCCAGCTGGACTCCTCCCCAGAGTGAAGAATCCATAGGGTCAACCACATACCTACCTAGGTCCCTTCTGGTATATGCTTCCACTTCAGAATTCCCTGCCAACTGGTTCCAAGCCTATTTCCAGGGTCTGCATGGATCTTTTCTTTGGGTCTCTTCTTTTGAGGGAAGGTCATATCTCTGGTATGTATACCACTAGACCTACTACATAGTCAGATGGGAGCTGTTGGTGAGGTTGTGTGGCATTACCTCTATAAGCCAGACAGGGTGTCCCCACTCATGCATGTTGAAGCCCTGTAATGCCACAGCCAGGATGGAGCTGGGGGTTGGGAAACCAGCAAGGTTGCTGAGGGTCAGAGGCTGGCTGTCTTCCTGTCACTACTTTACAGTGAAGAATTCTGAGGAGTCTTGAGAATTCTAAATTTGAATCTTCTCTCCTGGTCACTATAAAGGTATATTTTGTCAAGGTAGAAGAATAGAATATGTTTTACTTAATAATAAATTAGCTTAATTTAAAATTTAATAATTTAGTCATACTATATATTCATTTATGTTCTTGGTCCAGACCACACAAATCTTAGTGGTAAGCTTGTTATTAAATGCTTCCTAATGCTTTTCCCCAGCACTTACTGCAGTGTTTGGCACCTGATAGATAATAGATCAATGAAATTGGGAGTTCAGAATGCCCTACCATGGCAGAAGATCAGAAGGGTCGACAGCCTCTATTTATTATAGTTTAGTAAGGGGAAATCTGTTCAGACTTGAACTTCAGAATGACACATCTCATGATAGCTTGCAGATTTGTTTATAACATAAACTAATTCGTTTACTGTGAAATTTGTCTGAGATGCTATATTTTTTGGTTCCTACTTAGTTGACTATATCTAAATGGAGCCCAAGTTAATTCCTTTTAACAGAGAGCTGCAATTCCATTTATTGAGTGTTTACTTTGTGCCAGGGATTACTTGAAGTGGTTAACTTGTAATATCACATTTAGTTCCCATAATAATTTTATGAGGTAGGAGGATTTATCCTAATATTAGTATATATATAAAACAGTATCAGAAATGGTTAAGTTATTTGCCTAAGACAGGTAAAGACTAGAAACTTAAATGTTTTTTTTTTTACTTTTATTTACTGTAAAAGTTAATTTCCAACCAGTATTAATAGAAATCTGCTTTGGACTGAGATGTAAATAATGTTTTTGCTATTTCTTCTATTGTGCATAGGAATTCAACCTAGTTGACAGAAGAGAACTTGCACCACTCCAAGAACTGATTGAGAAACTCACCTCAAAGGACAGATAAAGGATGCAGAACTATTCCTCAAATGCAGTTGTGTGGAGTTATTTAGATTTCATTGTATTTTATTTTTATCTCAGTGGCTTTGTCTTAGTTTGGGGGGGCTTGTTTGCATTCTTTTCTTCTTTATTCTGAATAAATAAAATTATATTCTATTGTTAGAGGAAGCCAAGAATCATTCTCTATACATTTGATAGGGGTAAATTTTAGTTTTAGTGGCATATGGTATTTTTTTTAACTTGGTTTTGGCTACTTGTGGAATTTCTGATAATATGTGTTGAAAGAAAATGCGTATTGATTGGACTGCTGATGGATGGGGTTCTGTGTTGTGTAAATGGTGGCCAATTTTTGAAGTCCCCAAAAGACTTATGTTTTTAAGTGCCTTGGCAGGCTCACTTCTGAGGTGCAAAGCACAGACATAGAACCAAACAGGACTTGAAACAATATTAGGATTACTACCCAGGGCACTCACTGATTTATGTTTTAAAATATCTATGCTAAAAGCCATAGTTTACCTAAATTGATAATTTCCAGCTTTTACTACATTGAGAAAACACAATTAATAAAGTTGTGCATATAGAACATAAAAAAATTAGTATTTCTTAATTTTTTATATTAATAGTAATTCTGTTCAACAAATGCTTCAAGTTTTATAAGCAGGCCTTTTTCCATCTCTTGATATCTGTGATACTGAGACTTGAGGATGTTGAAATGCAATACCTATTGCATTTTGTCTTCTTTCAATATGCTAACTGCACTGTAGATGTGAATATTCAGGTTATATACAGGTTTGCCATCTTCAGAGGTGATGCTGAACTGTGAGGTTTCTTAATAATTGCCAAATGAGCCATAAATCTGCAGAATCCCCTTCTACTATGAGGAAGCAGGGATAGGGGGTGTGTTTTGTTGCTGGGGGTGGGCACGGTTAGTTTGTATGGGGAGTTGGGAATGGAATTAAGTATGGGAAATCAAGTTTCAGAAGGTCCTATCTTAAAACCCTTGAATAGAATGGCATGAAAATTTTAATCAGTTTCTTATAAGCAGAGTCTCAGAGACTTCTTTTTTAGGAATCAACTTCCATGAGAAGTTAAAAATAAATTACTAATTTTAGGTATAGATATTAAATATGGGATTCAAGGACTCTTTGGAGAAATTGACCACTTTTCAGCATTTCCATTCAGTGAATGGAGCTGGTGTTTGCCTGTCATTTTTAAATGATAAGTATATTCTAGGCCCAACTTGAAGCATTCTGACTTCTGATTTTCACTGTGAAAGGAAATACTTTTTGCAGTAATATCAAACAATGAAAGTGCTAATTCAGTAGTTATTAAGTTTATTTTATTTTCCATGACTGTCTAGTGAATTATTCCCAAGTTCTGAAAATTAGTTTTTAAAATAAATATTAACATTTTCAATTCAGTTTTATTCTTGAGATATATATTTTTCAGACTTTGTTTTAATTTTGTCATTCCTGGTAAATCTGCATCCTTCATTTAGAAATATATACTTTTTCCCTTGTAGAAGAGAAATCTTGCTCTGAAAATACCTAGAAAAGACTCTAAAATGAAATCATTTTGTTTTTGCTGTTAATAAGTAGGGCAGTGATACCATTTAATGCCATTCAATTGTGATCACTAGGAACTGCTTTGTTCTCCACTTTATTGATAGCAGTCGTTCTCCAAGTACCAACAGTAGAAGTTAACAGGAGGGACAGGCAGGGACAAATACATTGAACATTCATTGGTGATATTTATAAATAGCAGTGAGAACTATCTGGTTTCCTTAAAAAAATCTTTTAGTATCCAAATATGTAAGATCAACCATTATGGGTTGATTCAAAAATAAAATTCGGCATCAAGTTATTGGGGTCTTATCTGTTTAGGAAAATGAAGCAAATGATTACTCAAGTAGTCTTTCATAGTGCATTTGACTTTGGATCAACCTCGAAATAAAAGTGTTGCAATGGCCAAGTGTAGAGAGAATAGTGAAAAATTGTTCTTGCTCTTTAAGCCTTATACAGTACACTGTAAAAATGCAAAAAATGTTTCTATAGGTTAATGTTTAGTAGTAGGACCTACTGTATGTATATACCAGTATACATACAGTATATACAGTGGGACCTACTTTCCCACTCTATGTATATAGGAGTTTGTTGTCACTGTGCCAGAATCTCAGGTGCCTGCTTCTGAGTATTCCTTTAAACAGAGTTATTGGGAAGTAATGAGTTATGTATGTGTATATATGGTAACCAAGTAGGGAAGTTCTCCCAGGGAGAGACCTGGCATTGTACATGCTGTTACATGGCTACAAGTAGGGAAACATTCACCAGAGCATGTGAGAAATAACTGATTTAATAAAAAAATTGCTTTGATTCACTCAGTTATCATGAGCATTAGTGAGATATAAGGATCAAATCTTGGCTCTGCAGCAGAACTTGCTTATAACTGCTTATTGGATTATTTCCAGATTTCTTTATTAAGTTTATAAATAACCAAGATAAGGATTTTCCCCCTGTTCTTTGTACAGAGTTGTAAAACAGAAGTTGGCTTTCTCATCTGCTAACAAAAGCATATCAAACAAAGTAGTAAGTTAACATAGTATTATTTTCACAATGCTTTGGTTAAATGTTGATATGAAGGAAGTTTCAGGAATTATTTTAAGTGATGGAGTAATGGTGTTGGAGAGAAGTTAACAAAGTGAAAGTCTTTAGGTTAGCAGTAGATGGTGCTACTACTGGCTTTCATTTGCTGACTTGATTACTCTGTTTCTTATAAAACCCATTGCATTAAACTGCACTAAAACAGAAGCATGTATGTAAACTAACTGTTTGGAGGTTAGTTTATCTTAAATTGAAAGATTTTTAGATTGCTATTGCTTTTTACCGTTGTCATTTGGAAATTCTAAATGGTCGGCATAAAATGTATTTGGTTGGAGATGACATGTTCAGTGTGCAGTGTATCTCAGACTGAATTACGGCCTGTTTTATCAGGAAGGATAAAGCACTGCAATTGCTTGTATTCAGAAGTACAGATGATGTGGATATTTATATTTTACATTTAATCTACCAGACTCCATTTTATGTATTAGCATTTTCCTTGCTTATGGGAAAATAGCAAAATGACAGATTTCTTTTATACCTGTGTCTACACCCTCTCTGAGAGAGGTATTGATAACCACTGAAATGGTAAGATAAGTGAGATGCAATTACTAAGTTGTAGGACTTTTGAAATAAACGTGTTATACCTTAAACATCCAAATGAGAGTTGGTCTTCAGGCTTGTTCCTTTGGGAGCGCTACTCACTCCATTTGTGCTGCAGTGGTGTGGAGTTTCGGGAATGCTTTCAAAGGGGCCTTGAGGACCATTTTGTGACTATGCAAGAGGATCTATTTTAGCATTTTAGTTGCACCAAAAACTGTTTTTGGCAAATAATGTGACCTGTCTCATTCACCAAACTGTCTCTGCTTTGCTGTTTTCTTTTCTTAGTGCTAAACTATTAGAGAAGTTCAGAAGAATATGCCATAGGTTCTGAATTTGCAGAAGAGAATGTTTTGAGCATAGGTAGCATCATTTAATAAATGTCACTACTTTGAAGTAGACTATATCATTTGGATGTATAGGATTTATTTTTTTTAATTTAGTTGAATTATTTTTCAGTTAAATACAATAATAAAAAGTCAAAGTCCTTATCTTATTTTGTTTTTTGGTCCTTTCCCTGATAATTCTTGAATTCCATCTTGACTACTGTAAAATTGTTTTGATTGAAGGAAACAAAAAAGTGGATCCCATAATTAAAATATAAGTAGTCTAAGGAAACAACAGCCTTTACCTCCATTCCTTTTTTAAAAAAATTTTCACCCAGATGAACAATTTGAATTTAAAGAACAGAGAGCATTTTACAAAGAAATTGGAATAAATTTTATATATTAATTAGGCTGAGTTTTAGGCCTACATATCATTGATAAAATAAATATTTAAAATTTTATAACCATTTCATATATCACTTAAAACTTTAACATTGTGAATGTCTCTTTAAAAGATGTGGGACCAGAAGTCTATTTATAATTTGAAAATGTGTCTGCATACCAGGAAGAAAAACTTTATTTTGAAATTTATCTGGAATATTAAAGAATATACCAATTCTTAGATATCCTGTTTTAGACCTATATTTTAAGGACCATTTCTAAAGTAATTTAAATAAGTTTTGTTATAATGTTAAAATTCACCATAGGAATTAACTGTTGTTTAGCTGTCGTTTAGTGGTGTCTGAGATACATACTCAGAGGGAAATCTATCTCAAGCTTTAATGAAAAAATTTAATTTTGAGATGTATTAACAATTCTGACTGCAGACAATTTGAATTTTTAGGGTTTTCCTAAAGAGCTAATCAAATGGGAAGAATTCATTTGAAGCTATAAAAGTGTGCCCCATGTATGCTAATTTGTAGTTGAACTGATAACATAAACTTTGACTAAAGAGAGAAAATGCAGATTAAAATACTGAGTATTCTCAATTTTGCTGGTGTGATGCAAATTTCTTTATCTACGTATAATACTCTATGATGGATAACTTTGGATTTCACTTTTCAAAGATCCATAGTGAAGTCTCCAGGGCTTTCCCAGCTTTATGTTTACTTGTCATCCCCTTCTTTTTGGAGGCAAATTACTTCCTTACTGCTGTTGACTTCTGTACCTCCCACCACCCCGAAACACACCCACTTGAAAAACAAAGCAGGCTGATAAGTGCAGGTCTTCATTGTCAGAGCTTCTGTGCTTGCTGTCAATACTTAGGTTTTAGCGGAACTGTTGAAAAATGCTAATTCTATAGGCATTTGTTGTTGACAGCTTTCTTTAAATATGTAATTGCAGTTGAGACCATAAGTGATATAAATTAATAATTTTTGTTAATATTTAATTTCTCATATTATTATTATTGTGTTTCTTACTGGTTTGCACATTTTTCTCTTTTGTTTCTGAAATACTTAACTGTGCAGTTTGTAAAATAGATTAGATTAGTACATTTTCATTTTAAGAACACTTTTCTCCTTAAATTATTCTGCCAAGATAACTATTTTTAGGGGAAATAGTTTTTTAAAGCCACTAAATTGTATTTGTTATTTTTATACATGCATAACTAGGGTGCTGAGTGCGCTAGTCTTGTGGGGGAACACTTAACTTCTGTTCTAGTTGAACATTTCTAATACATTATTACTTAAAATTATCTAGAAACAATGTCATGAAATCTAGCTTTGAGGGCGAATACAGTATAGATGAGAACACTTAAAAGTCTGAGCAGAAATCGATTATGAGGACAAAAGCAGAATACTGCCAGTGCCATAGAATGGAAGTCTAGGCGCAGTGTCGACATTGTGCACGCATTGCAGAGAATGTATACAGACAGGGGTCCTGCTCCATCGGACACGGACAGTTTCTCAATTAAAGTAGTTGAAAGGGAAAAGAGGCCTAAAATATGAAATGTAACATGGATGCTGTGTTGTAAACTGTGCCAAAATTACTCAAATTGTAGTTATTATCAAAGTTTAACTGCTTTATCTTTTTTGTTTTCAAAGAGGATACTGAATGTCTGAAAATCGATAACATGTTTTGAGAGATGTAAATAATGTATACAGACTTGTATGTGATGGGATGGGAAGAAATATTTAAATTTAGGTTTTTTTTTAAAGGGAGAAATGATGTTTATTACAAAAATTAATAAATAGTTATGTTTGGCCATGAATTCTGACTTTGTATTGCTTTTTTTTTTCTTTTGCTATAGATATTCCCACACTGAACACATTTCCTAGAGAAATATTGCTGGTATTTGGAATATGTTGACTATTTAAAATTTGTTAGGCATTATATTTTAATAATGTTGACAACAATCCTGGAAGTAGTATATTAAGTCTTACATAAGAGAAAACTCAGAAATTGTATAAGTCACTGACCATGACTAGGGTTTAAAGACCTCAGTATGGCCCTGGCCGGGTAGCTCAGTTGGTTGGTTATAAAGTCGTCTTGATACACCAAGGTTGTGTTTGATCTCAGGGCACACTCGAGAATCCACCAGTGAATGCATAAATAAGTGGGACAATGATCGATGGTTGTCCCTCCCTTCTTCTCTCTAAAATCAAAATAAATCCAAATATGCTTTGACCTTGAAACCAGTCCTTTTGGTATTTAAATATATAGTAGTACCCTCTTATCCTCAGTTACCCATGGTTAACTGTGGTCTGAAAATATTAAAGGGAAAATTTCAGAAATAAACAACTCTTAAGTTGCCCACCATTCTGAGTAGCATGATGAAATCTCGTGCCATCCCACTTGGTCCCGCCCTATCCTGCCCCATCTTGCCCCATCCTGCCCAGGACATGAATCATCCTCTTGTCCAGTGTACCCATGCCCGTTAGTCAACTATGGAGGTACTGCAGTGCTTATGTTCAAATTAATCCTTATTTTACTTACCAATGGCCCCAAAGTGCAAGAGTAGTGATGCTGGCAGTTCAGGAATCCCTGAAAGAGAACCTGTAAAGCACTATGTGTGTGTATGTGTATATGTATAGGAAAGAACAGTATATATGGGGTTAGGTATAATGCAAGTTTTCAGGGATTGACGGGGTTTTGGAACATCTCTTGGATGAGGTGGGACTACTATACTGTAACTATGAGAACAGATGGCAAAATAATTTTCATCTTTCCATCAATGAGCTCAGATTTTATGAAATTTTGTCTTCACTATAGATTACATTAAAGAATGAGTAGTATTAGAGAATAATTTTACCCTGATACCTAAGTTCCAAAAGGAAACGTGTACTTTTAGAGTATCCCCAGAGTATCATTATTTTAGAGGTTTTTATGGTTAGAGCCATTTGTGTTTGGACCATCATGTTGAAAATATTTTGATGGTAGTAGCCACAATAGTCCAATGCCACTAGTTAGTATTTGAGCAAAAGACTAGAAGAAATGCTGATCCACACTGATGTTGACTGTTTATGTTTTAATAAAAACGCCTTGTTATTCTGCACATACAGTATGTACAAAACATCTGTGTGTGAACTCATAAAATTAATCACTTTGATAAGTAGGTTCATTTCTCTCACTTGTAAATTTAAATATATAATGTCTTGAATGATGGGTTTTGGTAACAAAAAGTAATTATTTCTTTAAGAACCATGTTTAATACATGTTTTACACTTGTTTTAAACAGCATAATAAATATAGTGTTACTTTATTTATTTTTACCTAAAGTTTACCTTTACAAGCACGCTGCAAAATACAGCTTTCTTTCCTCAGGAGCTCTACAGACCTGATGGCAAGTTGGTATATACAAATGAATGGGCTGTGTAACCACTAATTAACAATGTTCAGGGTCCCTTTTTCCCCCTTTGTTCTCATTTTTTGAGTTGGTTTAGAGGTTTCTTAATAAACTTGTATGTGATCAGTGAGGACCTGTCTCATTCAACCAGCACTCGTACAGGAGAAAAGGAATCCCCAAACTGAAGGACTTTCTGGCAAAGACTGGTTAAGATAGTAGTATGCTCATGACTGGCTGGGAGCTCCAATCCCTTGTCTTTAGTCTGCAACACAAAAATCTGAAAAGCTTGGAAAACAAAGTATTTTCTTGATTCAGTGCAGGCTTAACCTGATCTGAGGTTAATAGTCTTCATCTCACTTAATGTGAAAACTCTTGTGAGTTTTACTGCCAAATACTAGTAGTGTATTTAACACTTTAAAGGAGGGTTAGAGAGGGTGATGTAATATGTATAATTTACGACTATTTATTTTCCAAAGTCCAAACATTTTTGAATTCTGAAATAGATCTGGCTATACTGCTTTCAAATAAGGGATTGTGGACAAAAATCTGGAAGGCACTTTTGAAAGTGTTCCTCTCTGTTCTCTTCCTTGTGTTATGTAGGAAAATGGAAAACTGCTGAACTTAGTGTTGAGAGCTAGGTTCTCTGTTTCCCCCATTGACTTTGTATTTTCTAGGGACACTCTTAAGCTTGGAGGAGCTGAAGTTTTTCTCTTCTAGCTAGAAATGACAGAGCTGAGATTTGAAAGCAGCCTTTAACTTTTCAATGCTTAAACTGTTACTTGCTACATTTCTTTTGTGTGTGTATTGTGTGGAAACCACACTTGGGGGTTTCTACTCAATCCCAAACATCTGTGACAGATCTAAATGAGGCCTCTTCAGTTCCGCTTTCCTCCTGTGTGAAGGGCTTAGAGATTCACCCTGCTTGATTCCTTTTTCAATAGCTACCAATACCCTTATTGCATAGATTCCCCCCAAGTTTAAGTGTGGAATAAAACACCTAGTAGCTTCTCCAGCTTCCTTGCCATCCTTTACGACAAGCATTCAGGCTTTTTTCATTTCAAGGATCATGCTGCTAATCACTAAGGGAAAAAACAAAAATAATATACATAAAATAATAGCATAACAAAATAATATAGGGAAATTCCAAAGAATGACTTTTGCTGTTTTTATTCCAGAGTACCCCATGGAGTTATATGTTGATTTCTGTTCTTTGTTCCTAAGAATGAGTCACCATTTACACACCTTCTTCTGAACTCCACCTTCAGATGCATTTTAGATGAGATGATAGTTGCAAAGTAAAGAAATAACAGAACCTTTGGTTTCTGTAGATTATTTGAACTCAGTAACTACTAAATTGGATAGTGTCTGCTTTATGAGGTTTTTTTTTTTTACCATGTTAGAAATGAGTTCCTCTGGGCATTTTTATACTTTTTGTGCCCAGCTGAGTGTTCTAGCAGAGTACATAGCATGAGGAGGCATTCAAAAATTCAACATACATATGTATTTATTATATATGTGCCAGGTATAGGACGTGCAAAGTTAAATAGTTATAGCCTTGCTGAACAGAAATATACCCAGTGTGTTAATTCCTACATAGCACGGTAGTAGAAATGTTTCCTTATTCCCTTTTAGATTCTTTAGCTGGTCTAATAATTAAATTGACAAAAAATAATAGGAGAAAAACAAATTTTACTTCGTTTGTATGGAAGCCCCATAAAAATAGGAGACTTGAGGTGAGCAAAGCAAGCTTTTTCATCTTTTAAACAACTAAGAAATTTGCGAAGAGTGGACAAGGCAAAGGATTTGGGCTTGGGATAGTAAATTGGTGAAGAAGCAACCAGGCTTGTTAATACAACCTGCTCTGCCCTCCATTTTCTATCTCTGGTGATAAGTATATCCCTGGTGCAGGTGGGGTGCATTTCACATGGGAGATATCACCTTTCAGTGTGGGACAAAGGAGGGACAGAGTGTCCTTGTGAAGGCTATTTCTCAAATACACTTAGTTCAAAATCATCAATATGCCAAAGCGTTTATTTTGGGTTGGCATATTTTACTTTCTTTTAGCACAATCACGCAAACAAAACCAAATGCAGGGAGGGGCGTGGGGAATGAAACATCAAGAAAGGCTATCTGTGGGGGTGGCATCTGACTACCTAAATTCTCACCCCAGTTCCACGCACTGGATTGCTAGTTAATTCATGAAAGCTGGAAACAGTGCCTGGCCGGGTTGCCTAACAGCACTTAGCTTGATGATCATCCTCCAGGCTGAGAACACAGGGTAATTTGTTTGATTTTTCTATTACACGTTGCTTCTCCCCAGACAAGTTCAGTTTCAAGTCCAGTCAATTCTGCCCAGACGCCGTGTTTCTCTGCACAAGCTCCACTGGAGAGGCGAGTTCTCCAAAGTCCAGCCCACTTCAGGCGACACCCTCTGCCCTCAGGGGCGCTCACACGTCCTCAGGCGCCCTCTGGCCTGCCAAGCTCTTTAGACGTCGGGCACCCGCCCTCGGCAGCCACTCCACTTAGGAATCGCCCTCCCCTCTCCCCGAGTCCCCGCGTCCCCGGAAGAGGTGCGTCACGTCGAGCACCCCTGAGCCCTCCGCTCTCGCGCGATCTGCTATTCCCGACACGCTCGTACAGCTCCAGCCGGGGCGGGCGCCGGCGGTGGGGCCGCAGGGACCTCCGGAACAGCGCTGGTTGGGGGGTGGGGGGCGTGGCTTTCCCGCTGGGCGGGTGGCCCAGCTGCTGGTCCGCCTCCTCGGCAGCTGCCTCCGCGCGCCAAAATCAAGTCCCGGGCGCGCCGGCGGGACCCAGCCTAAGAATAGCCGGGGTCCGCCTACAGGTCGGGGAATGAACCGGCGGCGGCGGCTCTGGCACCTGTGAGGATTTCCTAGCCCTTCCTGCCCCAGGCTATCCGACCGCCACTAGACTAGGAATGGCCACTCCGCCCAAGAGGAGCTGCCTATCTCCGGCGACCAGCTCTGGGGGAACCCGCATCAAGAAAATCTCGGTCGAAGGGAACATCGGTAAGGAGCCCTGGGGAATGTTGGATCCTCAGAAAAGGTCCTCACGGCGGCGGCGAAGCGCCCATTTGCTGCATCTTTGCTGCTCCTCCTTGAGTAGTCACCTCGCAGTCCGGCCGGGCAGACGGGGCTGAGGTGTGGAATTCTTCTCTGCCCGCCCCGACTTCCCTCGTTTACCCCCAGGGTGGCGGCGGCCGCGCGGGCGGAGGGTCTGCGGAAACCTGCGGGACTGTGAGGAGCGCCTAGGACTGGTTTCATCCTCTTGGTTGGGATCCCGCAAAGGGAAACATTTTGGGGGGCGCAGATTGTCAGTCCTTGAGCGTGTAATTTACATACGGGCGTTACCCCCTTTTAGGTGTACTGTTCTGTGAGGCTCGGCAAACGTAATGTCATCTTACCACCACCACGATCAAGATTGAGAACATTCCTACCACCTCAAACAGTTCCCTTGTGCTCCTTTGTAGTTAGCCCCCTCTCTCTTCCTATCCTTGGGCAGCAGCCACTGATTTGATTTCTGACCCTGTAAGTTTTGCCTTTTCCAGAATGTCATATAAACGGAATCATAGTGTGTGTATTCTTTTGTATATGGCGTCTTTAATTTAGCATAATGTTTTTAGATTCATTCATGTTGCTTGTTTCGGTAGTTCTTTTTTTTATTGCTAAGTAGTATTCATTCCACTGTGTGGTTATACCACCATTTACCTCTTCCCTATTTGTGGACATTTGATTGTTTCCAATTTTTAGTGATTATGAATAAAATGCTATAAACATTCTAGGACAAGGAAAGAGGTTTTTAATTATCTTAACAGAATGGAGTTCTGCATTGCCTACCCTACATTCAAGTAAACACTGGCTTATGATTCAAAAACCGTTACTATTTCTGTTTTTATCCCCAGATGGGGACAGACCCCACCATTAAAATGCATTTTTGCAAGATGCACCTGAACTTTCGATTCTTACATATTTCCCACCACAGGAAACCTATGCCTGACATTTCCTGTTTTGAAAGAATTTTTGTCTCTAAGTTAGGTACTAGCCATTCATGCATACAGCAAGTATTTTTTAATCCTTATCACATTTAAAGCATTTGGCCTTATAAAAAGTAAGGCAAGCAGATGCTTTAGCAAACCCAAGGAATTGAAACAAAAACTGAACACACCCTCAAAGAGGACTTTTCTTTCATTGCTCCAGTATTAAGGCACCAGCGGAAATGATCCATATACAGATGGGTCAACATACATTTGAACTGTGGTGGTCCACTTATATGTGGATGTAAAAATTTTTGATTTTTAGAGAGACGTCAATTTATTGTTCCACTTATTTATGCACATATTGGTTGCTTCTTTGAATGTGCCCTCACCAGGACGTGAACCCACAACCTTGACATATCCAGATGACTCTAACCAATTGGATTACCCGGCCAGGGCTATATGTGGATTTCTTTCCCCCTCAATAACACCATCTGTGGTTGGGAGTCTGAATGCTGAGAGCAGACTGTATACCCTCATGATCTGCGTATGCCATTTTATATAGGAGACTTGAGCATCTGCAGATTATGGTATCCATGGTGTAACAGGGTGCAGCCAAGAGGGGTACCCCAAATGGGGATTTGTAATGGGGTCCAGAACTCGAGGTTTCCAGGAAATATTAGAAAAATATACAAGATGTCCTCACCCCTCCTCCCACCCAAGGTTAAGCTGGGGGATGGGACACATGGAACAGAGCCATGAGAGTTTTGCATAGCAACAGCTTTGTAGCTGACCTCTGACATGGTCATTTAACATATCTATAGCCTTTAAGTGGTTTCATAGATATGTTAAATAGCTGTGGCCATGCTTTGAACCAGGGGGATGGAAGTGACTTCCACCCAATATGTAACTGGAAGGCAACTCCGCCTGGTTACAGCACCTGCATGAGAGTTTGGAGATGATTGGCTCCATGCCATGGGGCCACACCTGCCCAGACCCAAGACGGCAGCCTAGTAAAGCTGTAAGAGTACAGGAATGCTGGCAGCTGTAACCAATTGTAGGAGTGGAAATGGGGCAGCAGAGGAAGATCGGCATGGGCATTTAAACCAAGACGCAGCAGCCATGCCACGGGAGAACTACGAAGCTTTAGCAGATTTGGGACCACTCTTTGACAAGAGTGAGGACCATGTGGCTTTGGGGTGCTCTCTTTTGTCATGTGGCTTAGGAAGAAAGGCTTTGCCTAGAAGAAGGGGGGTGAAGGGACTCTTGCCGTTGGGCCACGAGAAGGTGCCACATGGCTTTGGATTAACTGGAGATTGTGGTGGCGACACAGGTGGTGCTGCCAGGAGCCGGAATCCTGGACTTCAACTTCTTTTCCTGAGATATGGTACCCCAGACTAGGGCAGAGGGAGAAGGAAGGACTGTGTGCATCTGTGGGTATTCTAAAGGACTTTGGTATTTTAATGAAGACATTAAGTCACTACTCTAAGTCTGCATAGCTTTTAAATAAATAATTCTTTTTCTTTTCACAAATCTCTGGCATTGAGAGATGTCTTTCCTAGTGGGGGGTCCTTTCAGTAATAGTATATCGTACATCCCCCCCTTGTCTCTGTTCTGTAACAATGGGGTGCTGGAACTCATTCCCCTTGGATGCCAAGAGACAACTTAAGTTTTAGGGGGAGTCAAAAGTTATATGCAGATTTTTCCACTGAGGAGGGAGTGAGTGCCCTTAACCCTCATGTTGTTCAAGGGTCAACTCTGTCTATAGGGTTTGAATGCCACAGTTTTAGACATCCACTGGGGGTCTTGGATACCAAGATTGGGGATCTTCCCTACAAATAAGGGAAGACTACTGTAATTGTCATCCCCTGCTTAAAAGTCTTCTCTGACTTCCTCTTTATCAGTACTGGAAGGAGTTACAAACTGATAGCCTGCATTTGTACAATATTGGCCTATGCAGATTTGAAAAAAAATATTTTAATTGCTAACATTACATTTTATGATTTCCCATAAAGTCTACATTCTTGACGTCTCTTGAAAAATCTGAATATCTGGTAACACTGAGCCTGCATTTCCATAAGGCAGCAGTTTACTGTTTAGATGGGGCTGTGTTCCTTGTCACTTACATATTGTCTTTCCTGACACTGAAGTGTTGCAAGTTGCTGTTTGTTATTGCTCTTGCACTGTTGTTCATGCCCCCTCCAGTTTGTCAGACCCAAATAACTGAAAGGTACAAACTTTTAATCTGTCTGTAGAAAACTATTTTGTGATTCTTCTCTTTTTCCTAGAATTCAAAACTTAACTAGTCATTTTAGTTTCACACTCTTGTACACCATCTTCTTATGTTCTCTGTTACTGAAATACTCCTATTGAAATACTCCCTTATGTTAGATTTATGGAGGCCTTACCTGTTTCTTCTCAGCTTAATAGTCTGTAAGGAATATCTTTTGGTACCATGATGCCTGCTTGGTATTAGTAATTGTTAGGTCCTATGACTTTTAATATCAGTGTTAATATCAGTGTCCTTGGTTCTGGTTCTTTGCCTTCATAGAATATTAATTTATTAATTAGCTTATTTTCTAGCTCCCCCCCCCAAGTTAATGAACTGGATATTAGTTCAATTGAGAACTATAGGTAATTATTGTTTGAATTACATGTAACTTTTATTACTCTTAAAATTTCAAAGTACGACCACATAAACTTTCTGTTTGTCTATAGTCAGAAGAAAGCTGAATTCTAGCCTAAGTGCTTTCACACTCTAGTCAAGTGATGCCTGGTTTTTTAAAATGTGTTCCTTGGGTGTTTTTATGAACATCATGTTTTTCTTTCCATCTTTATCTAGGTCAGTGAATGTCTGGTGATTATTTGATGTTTCCACTTACTCTTCTAAATGCCTTCCAGTCTCTATGCTTACCCTCTCCACACAAAATCTGTGTGGTCACAAGTGATTTTTCATGATCTTATAGTCATCTCATTTATCTTTAAAAGTTTTTCTCCTCAACTGTTATACCTTCTTTTTGACCCTTCTCTTATTTTCCTCTATGTGTGTTCTTTTAATATTTTTCCAGTTTGTTCTTTTGTTCTATTGCCCTATTTAAGGTCCTAAGTTTGAATATAGTTTTGTAAGTCAAAGGTAAGTTCTTTTTGCTCTCTTTGGATCCAGTTTATAGGCAAAGGAGGCTTTTCTTACAAGCACACTGAAGTTTTTATATGGTTATTTGTGTGTGTATGTGTATAGATATGTGTATATATATAATATACATTATATATATATATATATATATATATGTAGAGAGAGAATACATTTTGCTGACTAGAGATGTCTAATACAAGCACATTTGGTGACTTCAGATAACAGGGGTGTGGTAATCATTAGGAGTACTGCTACACCCTGTGAAATTCTAGGTCAAGACTTTTTCTACTATTAAATGGAATGTATTCCTGGGAAATTTTAAAATAATGAACATAATATATTCTGATTATACCTGAATATCCCCCCACTCACTATCTCAGAAATGAGTGAATAATCAGATGACTTTTTTCTGTTTCTTTTTTTATTGTCGTTGTTCAAGTACAGTTGTCTCTATTTCCCCCTACTACGACCCCACTCCCCCCCACCCCAGCCATCCCCACCTGCCACCCTTGATCCTATACTGTTTGGCTTTGTCCCTGTGTCCTTTATAGGAGTTCCTTGATCACTCCACCCCTTTTCTCCCCATTATCCCCTCCCCCCTCCTCTCTGGTTACTGTCAGTTTGTTCTTTATTTCAGTGTCTCTGGTTATATTTTACTTGCTTGTTTGTTTTGTTAATTAAGTCCCACTTACAGGTGAGATCATATGGTATTTTTCTTTCACCACTTGGCTTACTTCACTTAGCATAATACTTTCCAGTTCAGTTCCATCTATGTTGTTACGAAGGGTAGGAGCTCCTTCTTCCTTTCTGTTGTGTAGTATTCCATTTTGTAAATGTACTGTAGTTTTTTGATCCACTCATTTACTGATGGGCACTTAAGTTGCTTCCAACACTTGGCTGCTATGAACATTGAGGTGCATGGGTTCTTTTGAATTGGTGTTTCAGTGTTCCTAGGGTGTAATCCCAGCAGTGGAATTGCTGGGTCAAAAGGCAGTTCATTTTTAGTTTTATCCATATTTTAGTTTTTCCCATGTTTAGTTTTTTTCTGAAGAAATTCCATACTGTTTTCCGCAGTGGCTGCACCAGTATGCAATCCCACCAGAAGTGTACTAGGGTTCCTTTTTCTCCACAACCTTGCCAGCTCTTGTTGTTTGTTGATTTGTTTGTGATGGCTGTTCTGACTTGTGTGAAGTGGTACCTCATTGTGGTTTTAATTTGCATCTCTCTGATGGCTAGTGATGCTGAACATCCTTTCATATGTCTCTGGGCCCTCTGTATGTCCTCCTTGGAGAAGTGTCTTTTCAAGTCCTTTAACTGTTTTTTTAATTGGTTTGTTTGTCTTCCTAGAGTGGAGTCCTATGAGTTCCTCATATATTTTGGAGATCAAACCCTTGTCTGAGGTATCATTTGCAAATATACTTTTCCAAATAGTTGGTTCCCTTTTCATTTTGCTGATGTTTTCTTTAGCTGTGCAGAAACTCTTTATTTTGATAAAGTCTCATTTGTTTATACTTTCCTTCATGTCCCTTACCCTAGGGGACATATTGGCAAAAATATTGCTACACGGAATATCTGAGATTTTCCTGCCTGTGTTCTCTACGGTTTTTATGGTGTTTTAAGATTTATAGTTAAGTCTTTTATCCATCTTGAGTATACTTTTGTGTATGGTGTAAGTTGGTGGTCGAGTTTCATTTTTTTGCATGTAGCTGTCCAGATATCTCAACACTATTTGTTGAAGAGGCTATTTTTACTCCATTTTATGCTTCTGCCCACTTTGTTGAGTAATAATTGATCATAGAGACTTGGGTTTATTTCTGGACTCTGTATTCTGTTCCATTGTTCTATGTGTCTGTTCTTATGCCAATGCCAGACTGTTCTGGCATACAATGCTGTGGCTTTGTAATATAGTTTGATACCTGGTATTGTGATCCTTCCTACTTTGTTCTTTGTCAGAATTGCTGCAGCTATTCAGGCTGTTTATGGTTCCATATAAATTTTTGAAATGTTTGTTCTGTATCATTGACTTTTTTTAAAGCATTAGATAAAGTACACACTGCCCAGACAATGAATGTGAAGCAGAGAAAACATGCTTATTGCTTGTAGGAAACACTTTGCATAAATGTTTTTTTTTAATATTTATTTTTAGAGAGATGGCAGGGAGGAAGAAAGGGAGGGAGAGAAACATCATGTGGCTACCTCCATTGCACCCCCCACTGGGGACCTAGTCCTCAACCCAGGTGTGTAGCCTGACTGGGAATTGAACCAGAGACCCTTTGGTTCACAGGCTGGAGCTCAATCCACTGAGCCACACCAGCCAGGGCTTGCATTAGTGTTTTTATAATTTATTGTAACTCTAATGCCATATAACAATTACTGTCATATAATTCCATTATAAAACTTGAGGCATTGAATGCATCTTTATATTGATTTTATAGTTTATTTGGTTGTTTCTAAATTGGTTTTAGATAGGAAAGACCTGAGCTTGTTTGTTAACTGAGAGAATGGAGCCACTGGGGAAAAAATTTAAAAAATGTGAGAGCCTAGAATGACTGTAACTGTATAATAGTTTACTTGCTTATCACAGCAGTTTCCACTAGGAGGGCATTATTATTATCTCCATTGTATTATGCGGAACAGGCTCAGAGAGGTTCAGTAACTTATACAAAAATCACATACATAATTAACCACTCCCCACAAAGGTACTGCTCACTCATTGCTTGGTTGAGGAAAGTGAGCCTAGGACTGTGATTCTTTTCTACCATAATATCTTGCCTAAAGTCTCACTGGATCTTTAGTTCTTCTCTTCCATAGTTTTGGTAAACTAAAAATAATAAGAGATGAGCCCTGGCTGGGTAACTGAGTTGGTTAGACAAAATAGTGAAAGAAAATTACCCTAATTTGGTGAAGGAAATAGATATGTAAGTCCAGGAAGAACAGAGAGTCCCAAACAAGATGGATGCAAAGAGAATCACACTAAGACACATCATAATTAAATGCCAAAGGTAAAAAATAGAGAATCTTAAAAGCAGCAAGAGAAGAAGTTAGTTATTTACAGGGTAGTGCCCAACTAACTATCAGCGGATTTCTCAAAAGAAACTTTGCAGGCTAGAAGGGATTGGCAAGAAACATTCAGTCATGAAAAGCAGGGACCTATAGCCAGCATTGCTCTACCCAGCAAAGATAACATTTAGAATCAAGCTCAGATAAAGAGATTCCCAGACAAGAAAAAACTGAAGGAGTTCATCATCACCAAACCATTATTATGTGAAGTGTTAATGGGACTTATTTAAGAAAAAGGAGATCAAAACTATGAACAATAAAATGGCAAAAAATGCATACCTATCAACAATTGAATCTAAAAGACTAAGCAGTCAAGAATAGAGAATCATGAATACAGAGAATGTTTTGATTGTTGCCAGATGGGAGGTGGGTGAGGGAGAATGAGTAAAGAGGTGAAGAGATTAAGAAATACAAATAGATAGTTACAGAATAGCTGTGGGGATATATAGTATAGTATAGGAAATGGAGTAACCAAGGAACTCACACACATGACCTATGGACATGAACAATGATGAGGGCATTGCCTTAGGGAGGTGGAGTGCTGGGTGGAGGGGGGCAAAGGGAAAAATCGGGACAGCTGTAACAGCATAATCAATAAAATATAATTAAAAAAATATGACACAAGATTAAATCAGGCACAAGAGAAAATGATGCAATCAAAAGACATGGTAACCATAAGATGGATGCAGTTAATGGCACACTGTTTTACAGTGAGTTTTTTAAAAAATTTTTTAGAGAGAAGGGAGAGAGAAAAAGAGGGGAAGGGAGAGAGAAAGAAAAGGGAGAAAGGGAGGGAGAGAAACATCAATGTGTGGTTGCCTCTCATGCGCTAGAGGCCTGGTCCTCAAACTGAGGCATGTGCCCTGACGGGGAATTGAACTGATGACCCTTTGATTTGTATGCTGGCACTCAACCACTGAGCCACACCAGCCAGGGCTCTTTGTTTTATTTTAAAATAAACAGAGTCAATTCTAACAATAAAAGTTATATATAGTAAGTATATAAACCAGTAACATAACCATTTTTTACCATTAGCAAGTATTATGTACTGCACATATTTGTATGTGCTATACTTTCATACAACTGGCAGGGAAGTAGGTTTGTAAAGCAGCATGACCACAAACATGCGGGCACTACATTGTGCTAAGACGTTCAGAATATCTGCATGTCTCTAAGTGATGGGAATATTTCGGCTCCATTATAATCTGTATGGAACCACCATAATATGGGTGGTTCAACATTGACCAAAATGTTAATGCTGTTGCATGACTTTAAATTTTGAAAAACTGATGACTATTTTGGCTTTTTTTTTCCTGCTAAGTTTTCTTCCTCAGTTTTACTTTTTTTCTCACAATAGGTGCAGGAAAGACAACATTTGTGAATATCCTTAAACAAATCTGTGAGGATTGGGAAGTGGTTCCTGAACCTGTTGCCAGATGGTGCAATGTTCAAAGTACTCAAGATGAATTTCAGGTATGAAAATAAAATTTATTAACTAAATAAAATAAAAACCTGTTGGTGTACAGAAGCAGTGGTATTTAATCTTTTGGGATTTTGCTTGTTTTTCCTTTTGCCAATAAAACTTTCAAATCTACCTTTAAGTCTTTATGTTCCTCTGGGCAATAGTTACAGGGATGTTAGTCTATGTATGTAAACAATGGACTATGTGCACCTAAGATTTATGCACTTTATTGTACCTAAAAAACATTTTAAGTTTTCAAAAATTAGTGAAAAAGTTTAAAAAAATCTAATTGCAAGTTAAATTCCTTGAGTGACTTTTTACATTAAAAAAACAAACAAGAAAAACAAAAACAACTACACAATAACTGCATTTTATTAGTTTTTCTTTTAAGTCTTTTGTCTTAGAGAGAATCATTTATCTCTCATTTCTTTGTACTGTCATTTTTCTCAGACTTTCATCCTGGACACGTTTCAATTTTCCAGCATTTTTCATCCTCTCTTGTGAGCAAAGAAGTGGGGATGACAGTTAAATTTTATCGTTTATTACAAAATTTTGTAGTATATGTGTATGAAAGGAATGCTGTCTAATTGCTAAGATTTTTATTTCTGGAGAAATGAGAATCAAAACTGAAAGCAGCATGGCTATATAGCAGAAGTCTCCAAATGGAAATGTGTGCTAGAAATTTCATTAGCGCTGAGGAGGACAGGGTTGAAAAAAGTTTGTTTTAGGGTTTAGCTGTTGGTATGAGGAATCTAGAAATAATATTTGAGCATTAAAAATGTAAACTATATAAAATAGTAAGATAATCTGTAAACTTTGAGGATATATGGTTTCGAATTACCATAAATATTTTCTCACATACCTGTTGGCCAAGCATAGTTAACTTTAGGTCTGGGGCCCTTCTCATACACCCCAATCCTTAGAATAACCAGGACTCAAGCTTGTAGGGACTTCTTTCCTATATGGCTGCCTTTTCTTAAGAAATTGATATTTCTGTTTGGGAAAGGCATAGTTAGCCTTAAGTAGAAAACATTTTTTTAAGATACCCATATAGTTTTACTAAAAAACTTCACAACAATTAGTTTTAAGGCCAGTTCTGAAAATGTGATCTTTCTTTGTGTCCCTCCCTTTGGTAAACATACAAGCTTGTTTAAAAAATAAGGCTGAACAACTCTACCTCATACCACATCCAAAAAAAAAAAGATGGCTGTTTCATTCCCAGTTTTGAGTAAATTGTTTACCTAATTCTTATACCCTGAAATACATCCTTTAAATCTCCAGCCAAAGACCTGGCTGTTGGAAAAAAATGTTACTTTGTAAAGTACACCATTTACATACTATCTTAAGGGGAGGGCAATCAGTAGATTTTTAAAATGGGTAACTTTATTTGCTTCTTTCTTTTGATACTTTTTATTGACATATAACTATAGAAAAGTATATGAAACCTATGTACAGTTTGAAGAAGAATTTTAATCTTTACAGCCATCATCTAGGTCAAGAAGAACATCACTGTCCTTTTAGAAATCTTTTTCAGGTTACAATGTTCATTCCATGGGTAGCAGCTTCACTGGGGTAATAACTCATAAAATAACTCTTGTGATAATAATTTTTCAGTTTTCTAAAAATAATTTGACCATACATGAACATGTCTCTAAGAAATAGAACTTAATTTTGTCTGTTTTTGAGTGTTATGTAAATGAAATCAACTGTTCGCATTTTTCCTCTTGTATCTTTTGCTTGATAAGTTTATGAAAATTGTTCGTATTGCATGCAGCTGTAGCTTGCTCATTTTCATAGCTATCTAATATTAAGTCTTATTCCCCTGTCACTGTTTGTTCATTCTGTACCTGCGATTAGTGTTTGAGTGGTTTTTAGCTTAGTTACAGTAAAAACAGCTGTGTAGTGAACATGAACCCTGGTGCACACATGCATGCAATATATTCTCTAGGGATAAAGTAAAATTATTGGGTGGAGGGGTAAACGTGTGATGTCTGTTTTCCAGAGTGTTTTCACCACTTTATATCCCCTACAGTGTACTCAAATTGTTATTACTTCATATCTTTGCCAATAGTTAGTATTATTCGGCTTCCTGATTTTTGTCATTCTGTTGAATGGTTAATATTTTTTATATTTTTAATTTATATTTTCCTGGTTGCTAATGAGATTGTGCTCCTTATTTAAATTAATGAATTTATTTATCTTTTTTAAAAATTTCTTCTGTGAAGTTCCTGTTTAGGGCCTTCTGCCCATTTTCCTCTGGGTCTTATGTCTTCCTCCACCCTGTATTTTTAACTCCCAAAGTATGTCTCGTGGCCTCTTAGACTGAAGTGCCCTACTGAAGTTTGCTTACCTTTAGAAATGAGAGACTTGTGCTCTAAAAATACCTGTTTCATGTTGTTAACTAGGTCCCAATAAATTCAATAAAAAGGAAATAACAAAATAAAAATTCCTCTCTTCCCCCACACCCCATTTCTGGGATGAACCGTCAGTGTAGTTATTTTCAGGTTTTAGGTAGAATGTAGCCAAATTAAACCAATTTTAGAAATAGAGAAGGGATTCTTTCTTTGGGGCAGTGTTAGACCAGATTGGATCAGGTAGCCTGTATATAAGATTTAAGGTCCAATCTAGTCTTAGCATCATAAAATTCTACCTCACGTTAAATATGTATGACTGATTTGTTGACACATTAAATGTTCTGCCTCTCAGTATATCTCACATTAACCTAGGGCACAGAAACATATATAAAAACCCAAATGCCAAAATTTTAATTTGTAGAGAGAAATAAGTGATTATCAGATTCACCAAATTAGGTCAATCTGTTTTCATGGTAGGCCTATAATTGCCAACTAGTAGAAGGAACTCTTAAGAATCTCAAGGATTTGAGGTGCTTTTTAAACTAAACAGTTTCTTGGGAATTTAAATATGTAGTTGCTTCCTGGTTAAAAATTACTGCCTTAGTAAATCACTGTTAATGTCAGGAGTATATGGAACCCAGTTAATATTGGAGAGGAAAGGTTGAAAACATTGTATTAATATACATGGGAATATAATTTATAATAAGAAGGTTGTATGTTAAGCTAGGAGTCAGAGCCCAGGGAATTAATTATATTATCTTAATGACTGATGTCATCAGACTATGACACATTCATGCATCTGTCTCCATTCTGAGAATCTTTTAGCTTCATGGGTCCAATACTCATGCCTCTGAGATGGGATATTTTCTTCACATGTACTATAGTCAAAATTCCAAACTGATGTTTCTTTAAAACTACCATGGAGATGCCATTATTATTATTACTATTATTATTATATGCTTTTATCAGACAGTTTACTGGAATTCAGTCATATCTCCACAATGTTATAATTTCATTACCTTCATTGGATTTTGGTGCACATTCTCTGAGGATAGCTTTATTTTTATGTGTGTATTGAGGACCACTATCTTGTTAGCCCTCTGTACTTCTAGGTGGAGTTTCAGTCTGTGCTTGAGTGGTACAGGGCAGCACCTGGGGAGGCCAAGGGGAGTCTCAACCCAATACTAGTTTCTTGTCACAGAACAAGAAACGATTCAAGAGCATGATAGAAGAACTTAGCAAAGCACAGTAAACCCATTAAAGCAATAGTATGCACTGGAGAAGTGCGCCTCCGGAAGGCGAGCCAACAAGGAGACAAAGCTTGTCTCTGCTTCCTCCGCTGCCCCCAGTGCATGGTCGGTTAGTCAGAGACTGGTAAGACCCCTCAGAGGTGGGGCAACCTAAGCCAGACATGATTACTTGGAAGGCCATTATGGAAGGACTTGGGGGGTTGCAACAAAGAGGGAGTGATGGACCCTCGTCCCCCAGCTATTCTGACATAGCCCAGTCCCCATGTCCTCTGGGAGAAGCCCTTCCTGGATCTAATCCACTTGAGCCTGAAAACCTATGATGGGGGAGGCAGTGCAGCCCCTTGCCGCTATCGGGCATAAGAAAGAGTTCCTAAAGTCCTGTGAAACCTGCTTTGCTAAGAGTGCTTTCATTCATATGGTAAGGGTCCAAGCAGGAAATGAATATGTCTCCCAAGGTTTCTGCAACCCCCTTTCCTGACAGACATTGACTCATACTAAGCCCTGATTTCTTTGAAACATTATCTACTGTTTGATCCTTGCTGCCTGTATTCCTTTACAACCCAATAAAAGCCACTGAGGAAGGGGCTCTTGGCCTTTCTCCTCTGAGAGATTGGTCACCTCTCCTCTCCAAGCAGATCATGTCTTGGTAGTGTTACTTTCACCTGTGGGGGTCGGGGGAACTCGGTGGCAAAGTTGCCCCCACAGCCAGCAATCTTGGAGAATGAGACACTCTAGTGGGGTCTAGGTGGAAGGTTTTTTTAAATGTGAGTGGGAGGTAGGGGAGAATAGGGTGGTCCTCTGCTTCTGACTCTAGTCAGAAGACTGTCAATGCAGCTTATTCTTGTCTCTCCTTTTCAAATAGTGATTTCTTCTTGAACCTCCCAGTTACAGGAAACTGGAGCAGGGAACAGGTGGTCAGTGAAGGTGGTGTCAGTGATGTTCCAGCCAAAATGAAGAAGGAGAGGGGTAGAGCTTGAGGCTTTTGTTCCCTATTCTGACTTTCCTGCCTCATGAGGATACTTTTTTGGGGTACAGGGTTTGGGAGTGTGAGGGTAGTGGTAGATGAGTGGGTTCTCAGTATCTGTGTATACCTTTTTTTCCCACTTTAGTGGACCCCCACTAAATTCAAGAAGTGGGATTTTCTTTTTGCATCTTAGATTCCTTCTTCAGGCCCAGCCCTGATGTAATATTTGGGGTTATAGTGTGAATTACCCACTGTCCAAATCCCAACTTTCTTAGATTATCATCAGCAGTGAAAAGTACACTGTCTTCAGACCTAACCCTTGCAAGACCAGCCCTACTTTGGGTGTTTTCCATTAAATCACACGTTTTGGCAGTTGGTGTACAATTGGAAGATTTGGGCTATTGATATTTTTGATGTATTCCTCTAGTCAGTAAGTAAATTTG